GTCGGGCAGGAAAGCAGGGAACGCTCCCATCCCTGCGGCCTTTGGAGTGCCCAATGAAGCCCTGCCTCGCAGCTTAGCCCCCGTCTGGGCAGGAAAGCAGGGAACGCTCCCATCCCTGCGGCCTTTGGAGCACCCAATGAAGCCCTGCCTCGCAGCTTAGCCCCCGTCTGGGACCCTGTAGATTCTGCTGTCCAGAGCCTCCCAGGCCTGGGGTGCTGACCGTTCTGGTCTGGGGGCCTTGTTGCCTGTATTGGGAGTACTCTCCTGTCCTGAGAGGGGCGGGCATGTCGGTGCCCCTGTGTGACACGGGACAGGGCCCAGAGGCCTAGTGACTAATTCATTAGACTCACTTGCACTTGCCTTAGACTGAGCAGCTCTTTAAGTGCGGCTGTTCCCTGAGCCAGGTGGGCTGGGGACACACGAGGAAGGATGCTGTGGGACCCCGGGGTGTGGGCGCCTCCCAGCGGTATCCATGGTGTCTCTTCAGAAGGCTTGCTTGGAGGTGCTGGGCCTCCACATGGGCTCAGGTGCCAGCCCAGGTATTCCTCGGGAGGTCATGCCAGGAGCTGTCAGGAGCCAGGCCACGCAGCACATGGGCACGCCCTCCCATCCCTGTCCAGGCCCAGGTCTGTCGGATGGGGTTCATTTAGCCCAGGCTCTCAGACCCCTGGCCTCAGACAGTTCCCAGGGCTCCTGACAGGGGCGGTGCAAGCCTGCACACTTGCTCTCAGACTGCGCACCTAGGCAGGACTCAGCCTGCCTACCCCCAGCACGTACAGAGGGTGCCAGCTGCAGCCCCGCCCATGAGGGCTGGCATGGACTTGAAGTGGCAAGGGGGCCCTGGGGCACCGCACCTAGTGCAGGCTGTGGGTGCGCCTCAGGGTCAGGAGGCCCTAGGCTCCTTCCTGATACCCTGTTGCTTCCTGTAGTGACCTCAGGTGGATGCGTGCCGCACACACACACATCACCTATGGGCCAGTGCTAAGTCAGGCCTCCTCACACCTTCTGTCCACAGCTGCACATGTGGGCGACTGACCGCCCACCTTAGAGATAAAACTCGCAGGGCTGTCAAGAGCAAGACCCACCCAGAGTCCACACTCTTCCCCAGGGGTATCCGTTGCTGCTTGTGCGTGGCACCCTGGAGTGTTTCCTGCATCCAGGGCAGCAAGAGACCCCACCTGCCCCATAGCCTCAGGTGAAACCTCTACCTGCCATGGGAGGGGCACCTGGGCTGAGGTGGCCTTGGAGGAAGGGCAGTACCTGCCTACACTGAGCCACCAGCCTGCCAGGGCTGTCTGTGTGCAGTCTTCGGTGCAGGCCGTGGGGGCAGGTTGGCCCCAGGAATCCCCGGTGCACTCACTCCAGGCAGCGCAGACTGCATGGCACCCGGAGGGTTTTCTATGGCCAGACAAGCACGCAGGCCAGTGCCTCTGGGCCTGTGCCTCTGGCTGCAGGGCATCTTGGGGTCTGGAGGGATGGGGTAGGGGCAGCCCTGAAACTGTTTCCAGAGCACAGGGAGGCTGCAGGACGGGAAGAGCAGGTGCACAGGTCAGAGGACCAAAGAGGAGACTGGGGCACAGCACTCATGCTGCAGGAAGGCAGCGGCCACTGTCCTCAGCGTGACCAGAAGCCTCCCCGTGATGGAGGTACGGGCTTGCTCACATCTGCTCTGTGGCCTTTCACTGAAAACAATGGAATGTTTTGTTTTCATAAAAAAAGCTGCAAAAGTCCGCATGTGGGTCCCCTTGGGTCCTTGGCTAGATGCCAGGCGGCTCGTGTGTAGGGTGAGAACTTTTGGAGGCAGGCCAAGAGTGGCTTCCAGGGAGAGAACCAGGGCCGGAGACTGCAAGGGCTCTGAGCTGCTCGCCCAGCCAGGGTGCGGAGTGGAGCCTCCGTGGCCAAGCCAGCCTAGAGTGAAGGTTCAGTCTCCAACAAGCCTTGAAAGGGCCAAACCAGGCCTCAGGGAGCTTACTCGTCTTCCAGACCAAAGCCTGGGACTTTTTTTTTTTTTTTTTTTTTTTTTAGGATTTGGGTGAAGATTTACAGAGTAAATTCACTTTTCATACAGCAGTTCACATATACTTTGTCTCATGTCATTGACCAAAATTTATAATGCAGTAGCTCCCCTCCCACTTCCTCCCCATAGTTACCTCCTCCCAGTGTCCATCCCTTCATACTCTTCTGCACCCTGAGCTATCTCCCTATGCATAAGCAGCCCTTCCTTCTCCCATGATTGTTCTCTCCAGGGCGTGTGTCTACTTGAGGTAAATGTTTAACTCACATGCCTGTATTTTGTTTGGCTGGAAACCACAGTTGTGGGTTCAATTCCAGACCTGAAGGGCAGCTAGGGGCCATAGTCTCAGTGGTTACACCAGGCTCTATTGGACCAGCAAACCTGGTCCAGCCTGGGACTTTTTAAAGGAAGACGGACGTGCAGCGTAAAATCCTTGGCCCCGTCCAGGATAAAGTCTAAGCCTGGTGCCAGTAAGCGGGACAGTGTCACCCAAAACAAGAGGGAAGTCCAGCGTAGTGGGCCCAGACACAGTGGGATTAGCCTACAAGGACGGAAAAGCAGTTATCATAAACATGCCCTGTGTTCTCACGGATGTGGCGGGCAACATGAAGACAGAAACGGGGAAGTCAAAGAAGCCATCTGAGCAAATGCCACTGGAACAAATTCCAGATCATTTGTGCACCAACTCCCCCTTCAGGGAGGTGGCATGTAAGTCCCACCATTCAATGTGATGTCCTTCCCCAGAGTACAGTATGAGGAGCAGAGAAACCTGACAGCTGCCGCCTCAGCCGGGTGACCGCCACCTGTCACCACCTCAGCCAGGTGACCACGACCAGCATCAGGAGGGAGAAGTCACATCT